CCTACCTCTGGAGATGATGCGGACTCCACGCTCTGCCAGTGCCGGGGGCTCCAGCCCCAGGTCCTTGGCAATGTCACCCACGAAGGAGCCTTTGTCAATCTCTTCTGGCACAGAATAGTGCATCTGCCCAGCTCCGACCTCCCACAAGACGACCAAAAGAAAACAGAGCCGGATAAGCCTTCTGCATTGTGGCAACTTTTGCAGAGCCGCCATTTCTTCTGCTGCAATCTTCTCTCTCAGGCAACTTCCAGCACCCAGTGCAAGATTCCAGTCTTTATTTCTCAGGGTCTGAGGGGACCAGCATTCACAGGACCCAGGTCACTGTAGAGAGAACTTTAAGCTGCTGGACTGATTTTTTTTTTTTTTTCCGTCCGGAAGCTTGGGGGCCAAACGTCCAGCCCTTTTTGTTGTGGGAGCCGGAATGTTGGACTGATTGTCTTGCAGGCTTTTACTTCTAAGGTGGTCAGCAGCGACGCTCAGAGGCCTAAGTAATTTCTGCACCCTCTAAGGCAAACCCAAGTTATTTCTTGCTTGTTAGCTTTGTGACTTTCAAGTTGCTTTGAAGAATCTTAGTTTTAAGATACCTTAGAAGTAGCTCTTTCAAGTCAGGAGTCTTTTTCTCAGAATTAATAAGAATGTGTATACAAATGTGACCTTGATAGTAGTTGCTAGGAAAGTATTACTACTGAACACTCAAGGCATTCATCAAGGCTACTGATGCCCTTGCTCCAAACATCTCCAACTTATTTTATATTCAAAGGCAGTAAGATCAGCTTTAGAACATTAGCTACATTATCTTCTAAGGTCATATATTTTGCATTTCTGTGCTTGGTGCCTTAGAATTTAACTTCAACATCTGTATTTTAAAAAATTGAATTATCACTTAATTAGGTGACAATTATATACCTGGCACTTTGCCTGATTGATGCTGGAGAAAGAAATGGTGAACCTGAGGAACACAGTCCTTGTTCTCAGGAAGCTTACAGGATAGGGGAGGACACAGAAAACTAAATAGAGTATTTTAATAGAATATGTTAACTGCTACAAAGGTGGGAAACACTGGGCAATGGAAAGAGGTACATAAGAAGGGTATCCAACCTAGATCCAGGGGTCAGAACTTTTCCAAGACATTATTGAAGATGACTCTGAAAGGGTAGGAATGAGTGAAGAAGAGGCTGGAGTAGTGTTCTAGAACTTCAGTACAAATGCTTGGAGGTGAAAGGCCACATGTAACATTAAGGAAAGTGAAGGGGATTGTTCTTTGTTCTTTTTCTTTTTAAAGATTTTGTTTATTTATTTGAGAGAGAGAGCACAAGCAAAGAGGAAGGTCAGAGGGAGAGGGCGAAGTAGACTCCCCACTGAGCAGGGAGCCTGACCTGGGGCTTGATCCCAGGACCCTGAGATCATGACCTGAGCTGAAGGCAGATGCTTAACTGAGCCACCCAGGCACCCCTGTTCTTTTTCAAGATTGTTTTTGCTATTTGAGGTTCCTTGCTACTTCATATGAATTTTAGAATGGATTTTTTTCTATTTCTGCAAAAAAAATCATTAGGATTTTGATAGGGATTGCACTGAATCTGTAGATTCCTTTGGGTAGTCATATACGTTTTTGATGGGTACTCCATCAGGTTAAGGATGTTTCCTTCAATTCCTATTTTGCTAAATGATTTTAATCATGTGTTGAATATTCTCAAGAGCTTTATTATGCCTCTATTTAAATGAATATGTAGCTTTTTATCTTTACTCTCTTAATATGGAGTTTTGCATTATTAGATTTTCTTATATTGGAATATCCTTGCATCCCTAAAATAAACCCTACTTAGTCATAAGTTATAAATATTATTTCTAAATATATGGTAGATAAGATTTGATAATATCTTAATTAAGATTTTGAATCAAGGGCGCCTGGGTGGCTCGGTTGGTTGAGCGACTGCCTTCGGCTCAGGTCATGGTCCTGGAGCCCTGGGATCGAGTCCCGCATCGGGCTCCCTGCTCGGCAGGGAGTCTGCTTCTCCCTCTGACCCTCTTCCCTCTCGTGCTCTCTATCTCTCATTCTCTCTCTCAAATAAATAAATAAAATCTTTTTTTAAAAAAAGATTTTGAATCAATATTCTTTTTTTTTTTTTAAAGATTTTATTTATTTACTTGACAGAGAGAGACACAGCGAGAGAGGGAATACAAGCAGTGGGAGTGGGAGAGGGAGAAGCAGGCCTCCTGCCGAGCAGGGAGCCCGATGCGAGGCTCGATCCCAGGACTTGGAATCATGACCTGAGCCGAAGGCAGACGCTTAACAACTGAGCCACCCAGGCACCCCTTGATTCAACATTCTTAAAAGAAATTGCCCACTTCTGGTCTCACTTCAGTCTGTTTATCTTTTGGTTTCTTCCTTGTTGAATTTTTTTCATTTTTACTTTTATCCATTCCTCTGAGAATGGAAAAAATTGGAAACAAGTGGTATCAACTCACCTTGTTTTCTAGTAGGGCCTCTACTTTTTTAGATTTTAAAAATCTTTTCATCAACATCATTTTGATGCTTTCAAGTCTCATTAAATAACTGTTCAACATCCCTTACTGCAGCTCTTTAAAGACTTATCTGTTCTTTGTCTTTGACAATAGCTGGTTTTACTCTGTATCTTATTTCCTACTCATGCTTCCTGCTTTGAATTAAGTTTTTTTTTTAAGATTTTATTTATTTGACAGAGAGAGCACAAGCAGAGGGAGAGAGAGGGAGAAGCAAGCTCCCCGCTGAGCAAGGAGCCCGATGTGGGACTCGATCCCAGGACCCTGGGATCACGACCCGGGCCGAAGGCAGCTGCCCAACCGACTGAGCCACCCAGTTGTTTTCTTTCTCCTTGTCCAAGTCTTTGTTTTTAATCAGAATTTGGGGTTTTCTTGTAGAATCTTTAAAAAGAATTTTAGTCATGCCATCTGCCTACTCTATATTAGTCCTAGCATTGGACTTGACAGAATTTTCATTTCTCCCCACTGGTCTCAGTATGACTTTTATTGTCTGCTTTTAATTGCTTCATCATCAGAATTCTTCCTTGTTTGTATATTAATAATTTATACTCTTAGCTTTGTTATTTTTCCTATTATTTTCTTAAAGTTTATGCTGATACAATGGTTTTTGTTTGCCTTGTTTCTTGAGTGTCTTGCTAAATTCACTTATTTTAAATAATTAGTTTTGCGGGCGCCTGGGTGGCTCAGTTGGTTAAGCGACTGCCTTCGGCTCAGGTCATGATCCTGGAGTCCCGGGATCGAGTACCACATCGGGCTCCCTGCTCAGTGGGGAGTCTGCTTCTCCCTCTGACCCTCCCCCCTCTCATGCTCTCTTTCTCTCATTCTCTCTCTCAAATAAATAAATAAAATCTTAAAAAAATAATAATAATTAGTTTTGCTTTTAGTTATTTTGTCTATAAATTTACCCCTAGCTACTCTTTTAGCTGTATTTCACAATTTTATTTTATTTTATTCTATTTTATTTTAAGTAGGCTCCGCATCCAACATGGGGCTCGAACTCGTGACCCTGAGATCAAGAGTTGCATGTTCAGCTGATTGAGCCAGCGAGGTGTCCCTGTATTCCAGAGTTTTAAATAATATTTTAATTTTTGTTCCTTTCTAAATAGTTCTTATTTCCATTGTGATTTTTTTAAATCCAAGAGTAATTTAGGGGTATAGATTTAAGTGTCCAAACTTTTTTTTGTTTCCTTTTACTATTTTTAAGTGTTTGCTTTGTAATTTTTTCAGCTTTATTGAGGTATAATTAATAAAAAAAATTGTAAGATATTTAAAGCGTACAATGTAATGATATCATATATGTGAAAGGATTCCCCCTATTGATTTAATTAACACACCCATCACTTCAAATATTTACTTCTTTGTATGTGTGAGAACATTTAAGTTCTCTCTGAAGAAATTTCTATTATACAACACAATACAATATTATCAACTGTAGTCTCGTTATACAGTGGATACTCAGGCCTTATTCTTTTTTTTTTCTAATGATCTTCTTTATTTATTTGCCAGAGAGAGAGATCACAAGCAGGCAGACAGGCAGACAGAGGGAGAGAGAGAAGCAGGTTCACCGAGCAGGGAGCCCGATGTGGGACTCAATCCTAGGACCCTGGGATCATGACCTGAGCCAAAGGCAGACGCTTAATGACTGAGCCACCCAGGCACCCCAGGCCTTATTCACCTTACAGCTGAAAGTTTGTACCCTTTTACCTACCTCTCCCTATTTTCCCCACCCCAGCTTTGTGAATTAAGTACATGTTATAAGGCATGTAGATTATTGGTACTTTGAAATTTGCTCCTTTTTTTTTTGTGATGACTATGTAGTAAATTGCTGTAGATTCCATATAGTCATGTAAAGAATGGCTATTCTGTATTTGTTGTGCATAGGATTCTGTACAGATTTATTAGATCAAGCTTATAGATTCTGTTGTTCAAATTTTCTGTATGCTTAGTAATTCTGGGCTGTGGGGTATAGTATTTCTTATGGAATTAAGTTTAAGTCTCCTGGTATTATTTTCAAAGCTATATTGTTCAGTGATGGGACCTTATATTTTTTTATATCGTTTTGTCTTTTTTTTGTAACTATGATCAGTTCATTAAAAAAAATCACCATTAATGTTTGTTGTCTTAAACACTACTTTGCTGTTATATTAAAATTGACATGACTGCTTTCTTTTGTGTGTGTACATATATATTTTTATTTTCCCCATTTCAGTGTAATTTTGTTTTAAGCATGTATCTTGTCGGCAGAATATAGATGGATTTAAAAAAATCATCCAACTTGGTAATCTCTGTATTTTAATAGGTAAACTTAGCTCATCTATATACGCATAAAAACAAAATTTTAAATTAACAGGAGCTGAGAAAATCCAGAATTGAAATAGCTGATGTTACTTTCTAAAAAGATTTATTTATTTGTGAGAGAGAGAGAAAGCACATGCACACACGGGGGGGGGGGGTACAGAGGGAGAGGGAGAGAGAGAATCCTCTAGCAGACTCCCTGCTGAGCGTGGAGCTTACCAGAGGGATCCATCCCAGGACCCTGAGGTCATGACCTGAGCTGAAACCAAGAGTGGATGCTTAACCAACTGAGCTACCCAGGTGCCCCATGAAATAAATTATGTTACTGAGAATGTACTCCAAACAAAAAATAAAAATAAAAAATCAACACTTAGACATATAGCAAGGATGAGAGAAATTTTTTAAAAGCCATCAGACAGAAAACAGAGATACCTTAAAGATAATGACAATTTGTTGGAATATCTCAATAGCAACAATAACTCCAGAAGACAATGCTTCAACATTGTGGTTTGTAGATTTATTTTGAGTGGAAGGGTTTCTTAATTGCTCTCTCTCTTCTACTTTCTCTCCCTCTCCCTCCCTCCTGGGTTGAGGGTTTTGTCTCTTATGGTTTTGAAATTGTTTTTATTGCAGGTCCTAGGCCATAAGTAGGTCTTTTAATGGTGTGTAGCAGTAGTACTGTGAATATTACAGCTCATGTTTAAGAGACTTATTGTTCATTTTCTCAAGCCAGCATCTGTATCCACTTCTCTCCTTTGGTCTGCAGGTTGCAAGAAGTCATGACCACAGGAATTTGTAGGCAGCATTTTAATGCAATTTCTCCCTGTTTTAGCTAGCTGAGAGGACAAACTGCTTGTTTTAGATTTAAGTAGTAAGTCTGTATTAAGTCTCGCTCAGGTTCTTTGTTTAGCCTGAAGCACTTTCTTTGTCCCTGTTACTATGCTGGAACAACCTCCTGACCTTCAGTGCCTGCATCTAGGCCAAGACTAGAGTTCCCACAGCTTTATCCTGGCCCACCACTTTCTGTTCCATCTTTGGCCCGTGTATATATTTATCTTTTATTTGTGCCTTACCATGCTTTTTATTTCTTCTTTTTATAGTTTGTATATCTCTTTAATTTATTGGAGTAGAGTAAGTTTATCAAAACATGGACTTACTCCCTTATGATACATTTCTTGAGAAGAGTTAACACACACATTAAAATGGACTATATACTTGGTTTTTGTTAGTCGCTTCCATTATAGGCATAATATACAAGTCAGGAGGCTTTGAAACTACTTCTCAAGTTGCATAGTAAATTTTCTGTCATTCATTTTATTACCTCATTTCATAAGTTACTTAAACATCTAATGTATTCTTCAGAATACATAAAATATCTCAAAATAAAAGATGAAACAAAGGGCTAAGATATTCAACAAAAAATCACAACCTATATATACTCCTATAATTTAATCCTAACACAACTAAAAATAATACTTTAGACAACCTTTAGCTCTTCAAATGTCCCCAGATAAAACAGGCCTTGCCAGATGACATTTATATTAATTTAGGGATAAATTAGTATTTATAACTGAGAGAAATTGGAAAACATTATTAGTCACATAAATATTGGTGGATCGGGGTGCCTGGGTGGCTCAGGTGGTTAAGCGTCTGCCGTCAGCTCAGGTCATGATCCCAGGGTCCTGGGATCGACTCCCACATCGGGCTCCTGGCTCAGCGGGAAGCCTGCTCCTCCCTCTCCCTCTGCCTGCTGCTTCCCCTGCTTCTACACACACTCTCTCTGTCAAAAATAAATAAAACCTTAAAAAAAATATTGGTGGATCTTTTCTAGTTAAACCATATCCTTGCCAGATAAGAGAATGGTAAAACAAGAAAAATTACATTATTTGGCCAGAGGAAAGCAAGAAAATATTAGAAGTCATATCTTCTTGTTTCTGATGTGGTGCTCTTTCCACAACCAAGATAGCACCTCACAAATACTCTTCATTCCAACCACCTACATTATAGTTATTTACAGTCTCCTTTTCTATGAAAAAGCAATTATAATTATACTGGGATATAAACATTTAATAATTTCCCAGAATCTGTAAATAGAAATCTACAAAAATATGTGGGAAATAGAACTGTTAGTAGTAAAGAGTGACAGTAAGTAAACTCAGTAATTCTTTTTACCTAGATAAATTTACAAAAAGTTTACCTGAGAAAATGTTTCCTTTCTGTCTTCAAGTAAATCCTGAGTTACCAAAAGAGGCTCGCTTTTCTCACAGCTCTCCTGACTGAGGAGCGTGTCCGCGTAGTTGGGCTGGGGGAAGATCACGTGACTCTTCCGCGAGTCCGCGGTCAGGGAGACCTCGTGGGAATAGGTCTGCAGGAAAGCCCGCACCCCGTCCACGCCCACAAAGTGCGAGGCCGGCACGCCCACCAGCCCGCCTCCGG